ACCGTCTTTAATGTCCACCATTATATTATCAGTGTTCGTCTATAAATGAATACAGAAATAAGATGCTTTCCTTTAGATTACACAGTTTTGTCCAATTTTCTTTACTGGTCAAAATCTTTTTTCCTTTTATAACAAGCTGTAATCGGGTATGTTTTCCTCTTTTCTTCACCACCACTTTTATCGTTTCATCAATTAAACATTCAATCTGTTTCTTGAATAAATCAGTATGCAAATGTTCAAAGTCACAACCGTACACCTCCTTAGATAAATCAACCTGTGCCTGTGCCATTGATATAATTGTGTACTTTTATAGTTGTGGTCGCGGATTAAATTGTTCATGATGATTCATAAAAAGATTAACGAAACGTATAGTAAACGTTTCAGTCACGTGAGGGGGAGGAGGGTCACTTTTTTCCTCCTTTCTTTTAATATGAATATCATTTATATTTTATTTATAGAGGGGTTTGGTAAAATGTAACCAGTACAACCACTTAACAAACTAACCCATAGTTCTATACTTCCATTTTGTGTTGACAAATTAACAACTGCTGCAATAACAATTATGAAAACTATTATCATCTGACAAAAATACACGATCTCTGCTTTTGGTACATTCTGCCCGAAAAAACACCACTTTGTTTGAGGGTTTTCTGTGCTCATTCTCTCTAACATTTCAACTTAAATGATTTTTTTTTTCATATACACAAAAATATATATCTATATTTTATAGGAGAATTTCATTAAGAAGGTGTAATTTCCAATTTTCAATATGAAAAATTTTGTTATCATAATGCTGTTTTAGTTGAAATAATGTGTGTTTATCAATCGAAAGTAATAAAATATATAATCTAGTTTTCTTTTCTTCGAAAATAAACGAGTTGTGAACCTTTTGTAGATATTTCATAATCGTTTGAGAAGAAAATCGAACTGATCATGTACAACAATAAAAGACTCTTTTTGAATGATTTGTTGTCCTAAAAAGGACCGTTGTACGCATGTAAATGATATAAATGGATTTTTTATATTGGTAGTTGACAGGATCCATAAACTTGTAGTCTGCTAACACTGCATGAAAGTAACAACCACAAAAATAAAGATCTTCAATAAACTCTGGGTGGTGTTCAAAGTTGTATAGAATACAAACAATGTAACCGTTTTTTAGAAGCCATGTTTCTACTGGACACCGAGATAGTTCTTCATGACGAAGTTTATCAACCCTGTTCCTTATCAAATTTGCAGTCTTTTTTGGACCTCTTCGCGATCGTCTGATCTTTCCTGTCAATTTTCTTTCTCTTAAAAGTGTATACATATTAAAATTTTGGAGATTCATATTGTTTGTTCTTATGGAAATACTGTTGATGTATGATATATAGTAAACGTTTTTCTTAGTTTATAAACTGATTGCATTCAGATTATACTTCAGGATGTAAACGTGGATAGGTCAACGTGTATGCCACGTTTACAAGATCATACGTAGGAGGGTAGGGGATTAAAACAACTTCCGTTACTTGTCCACCACCGGATTTTAACCAGGATGATAAGTAGCTGTTAAGAGGATTACGAGATTAATTCACTTCAGTTAAGAGGATTATAACCAGGATGTTAAGTACCAGTTAAGAGGATTAAGAGATTAATTTACTTCAGTTAAGAGGATTATAACCAGGATGTTAAGTAGCAGTTAAGAGGATTACGAGATTAATCCACTTCAGTTAAGAGGATTATAACCCGGATGTTAAGTAGCAGTTAAGAGGATTAAGAGATTATAGACCGGATACTACGTCATAGTTAAGAGGATAAGCTGTGACGTGGCTTCCTGTGGGGGAATTGTGGGGGACTGACCCCATTTCATACTACTGGCGTCCGTCGTCATCCATTAACTTTTACAAAAATCTTCTCCTCTGAAACTACTGGACCAAATTTAACCAAACTTGGCCACAATCATCATTGGGTATCTAGTTTAAAAAAATGTCCGATGACCCCGTATGCAACCAAGATGGCCGACATGGCTAAAAATAAAACATAGGGGTAAAATGCAAGTTTTGTCTATTATTTTGAAAACCGTTATAGATAGGAAAAATCTGACAGGAGCAGAAATGTTTAGAATGTTGAGCTCTACCAATTGTCCATATACGTCATAACTGTCAGTCGATCAAAAATGATCAGCAAGACAAATTCTTCAAATAAGTCTGCATGGTCTAAATCGTCAGTCGACTTCTTATTAGAGTTATTGGCTTTTGATTACAATTTTTACAGATTTTTTGCCTTTTTGCCTTCTGTCTTAAAAATTATAATAGATGCATAGAAACTGAAATAAGCAAAAATGATCAGCAAGACAAGACCTAGAATTAAGACAAATATGGAGGAAATCGTATGACGACTCCTTATTGGAGTTATTGCCCTTTAATGACGATTTTTACCAATTTTTTTGTGTTTTGTCTTATATGATATAAAATGCTCCGCTGGGCACAGCTTGATACGACCGCAGAGGTCGAACCCTGAACAGTTGGGGCAAGTATGGACACAACATTCAAGCTTGATACAGCTCTGTTTGGGTTGTGATTAAATATTGACACAGCATAGGTTTCTGACACAGAATGAATGTGGTCTAAGAACTTAAAAATTTTTAATTAACATATTCAAACCATATCATTATTATTTGCTTTTATATATAAATCAGAAATAACCAATTTAAAGTGGAAAAATTTCAAAGAAAGAAAAAAGGAAAAAAAGGAAAAAAACATCCCCCCCAAATTTTTTGAACCCCCTTATGATTCATCACCCCCAAACTCAATCCCAGCCTTCCCTTTGTGGTATGGTACCTTGCAGTACAATTTCAGAGAGATCCATACACTTGAACACAAGTTATTGTCTGGAAACTAGAAAAAATGCTTGTTTTTTGGCTCCAAATTCCTAAACGTTTAGGGCAATTACCCCCAAACTCAAACCCAGCTTTCCCTTTGTGATATGGAACCTTGTAGTACAATTTCATAAAGATCCATACACTTACACACAAGTAATTGTCCTGAAACTAGAAAAATGCTTGTTTTTTGCCCCTTTTTGGCCCCTAATTCCTAAAATTTTGAGGCAATTACCCCCAAAATCAATCCCAGCCTTCCCTTTGTGGTATGGTACCTTGCAGTACAATTTCAGAGAGATCCATACACTTGAACACAAGTTATTGACTGGAAACTAGAAAAATGCTTATTTTTGGCCCCTTATTCCTAAACGTTTTGGGCAATTACCCCAAAACTCAATTCCAGCTTTCCCTTTGTGATATGGAACCTTGTAGTACAATTTCAAAAAGATCCATACCTTACACACAAGTAATTGTCATGAAACTAGATAAATGCTTGTTTTTTGCCCCTATTTTGGCCCCTAATTCCTAAAATTTTGAGGCAATTACCCCCAAAATCAATCCCAGCATTCCCTTTGTGATATGGAACCTTGTGTTACAATGTCAGAGAGATCCATACACTTAACACACAAGTTATGTCTGGGTTACAAAAATGCTTATTTTTGGCCCCTTTTTGGCCCCTAATTCCTTAACTGTTGGTACCATAACCCCCAAAATCAATCCCAACTTTCCTTTTGTGGTATTGAACCTTATGGTAAAATTTCATAGAGATCCATTCACTTAAACTAAAGTTAGAGTGCGAAAACTAAATGTGTCTTCGGACGACTACAACGCCAACATCATACCAATATACGACGACAAAATTTTTTTGCGGTCGTATAAAAATTATAATAGATAAATAGACACTTTAAATCACAAAAATGATCAACAAGGCAAAATCTACTAACAAGTCAAATTTTGCCGATATACATAGTATACTCACTCTTTATAAGAGTGATTGCCCTTAAATGAGGATTTTTTTACCATTTTTTGTGCTTTGAGCGAAAACTAAAAATATAGAGAAACTAAACAGACGAAATGATCAGCACTACAAGATCAACAGAACAGAGATTTTTGTCATGAATTCTATTCTCGTCTACAATATTGGAGGTTGTCCTTTGTTGAATATGCACATAGACCAAAGTGAGCGACACAGGCTCTTTAGAGCCTCTGGTTATATAAAGATTTTACCACTTCATCAAGTCTGATATGATATATCTCTACTCAAGACAGTTAACTTTTTAAATATTGAAAATTTAACTGTAGACAGTGGAGAAATTGTGTATTACACGAGATTCGGTGGATGAATCTTGTTTTCTTTAATAATTCTTAAATTACATAAAGACGAACTTTTTCACTGATCAGGCAAAAACATCTGTTTTTTATATGTGATGTTATCAGACATGGTCAGGTTTTTGTGTGACATTATTATGGGAAATCAGAGGAAAGCAAGAAAACTTGACATCATCATTGAATTTTGACCAATGAAGAACTGACATCAAATGAACCACACGATGATTATAAAAAATAATCAACCCATTAGGAAAAGTATAAATCGGATAAGAATTAGAGAAATGTGTATAACATGTTGCCAAATATACAGGCTTGGTAATATAACAATTAGATCTTAATGGACAGAAATTATTCTAACGTTCAAATATATTTGACCATAAATATACTGCAACTGAGAAATTGATATACCAGGTAAGCAGGAAAACTTCTGTTGAGCATTGATCCATTTAAATGAGGTCAGGCTTAAGTGAACCCAGACAGGTATGCAAATTTTTAAAAGATTCTAATGAAAAAATTTGATTAGTGTATAACTTATTGTGCCGGACAAAATGACCAAAGCACAAAAACTTAGTTAATGAACCAGGAAAAGACGTTATCCCTGTCTATTTCTTAATCTATGCTTTGAAGTAAAGTATTAAAATCAATCTCAAACCGTATATAACCCATGACCTTCTGCATTCAAAGCACTGCTACCAAGAGGAAACTGAGGCTTAGTGGTTTATTATTTTTTTTATCATTGCAAGCTTAAGATTCTTGTACAGTTTGTGGGTCTTATTTGCAGAACGTGTTTCATTTCCAAAAAAATATAGACAAATAATTCTTCAATTTTTTTATTGATAAATTTCATTTTTTGTTTGTACAAAGGACATGAACATTTACCAATTCAATAAGCAACACTAATAGTTGTAGCACTAATACATTTAACTGTACACTAATATATACAAAACTGTACACTGTACACATATCACTAGTACAATTATAAAACGCACTTATAGAGTACTGATCATACCTCCTATGAACACTATGTACAAAATGATATGATATGTATATTATACACAGCGAGACATAAACAATGTTTCCATAATATACAAATATTAACAAAGTAACTTTTCATAAAAACTTTTAAAACTTTAACATTAACAAAGCTGTTTTGTATTTCCTCCAATCTGAAAAAAGATAAACTTCTATTTGCTCCTAAGGGTTAGTCTATTATAATGGGTGTGGGAGGATAGGAAAGGACTTTCAGAACACCCCAAAAACAAAACACTTTAATGGAGTCATTTTGCTTACATCAAACGGTCAAATAACCATTACTAACTACCCCAAGTTCAAAATAAAACGTCCTTTTCTACCCTCTCAGATTCTTTAAATGGAATAGCCCTAAATGTCTCATAGATATGGTAATTGTAAAATTTCATAGAGATGACCATTAACCCATGTCTAAAAATAAAATGTCCCTTCCTACCCTCCCAGATTCATTTTTATTAATGGAATAGCCCTAAATGACTTATAGAAATGATAATTGTAAAATTTCCTAGAAATGACCCACAAGTCCAAAAATGAAATATCCCTACCTACCCTCAATGTCCATTTCAATGGAATAGCACTTACCAGTTATAGTTATACTTTAAAAGAGTAAATTCATTATCTTCCATCATTTTAATTCATTTCTTTTTTTCTGAACAATCAGTTAAAATTGTCAGTCCTATGTTTAATTTAAAGAGCACACATTTATCAAGACCATAACACAACAAACTTTCATATATAAACCATTGATAAAATCATAACATGATACATACCTGTCCAACACAAAAGAAGTAGCATTGCTCAAAATTTAGCTTTAGCAATCATTGAACTTTATTTCATGATTATACCCATAAGAATATAAATATACAGTATCCTTGTAATCCCTTTGAAAAGTGTTACCTTAGTGAATTTGAGATGTACAACAAAACCTGACCCATAGGTCATTTAATAAATTTCTAAATTGGAATAAAATATCATTTTTCTTACAAAGGTGGTTTAATTGATGAACAAATTAGTACTTTTTATTTTTGATTTAAAACAGCATGATTAAACATTTAGATTTATCAGAATATAAAAAGGATAATTGTTTGCTTACATAACTATATCATGTACGTTACCTTAAAACAGGTATGACTGCATGATTTTAAGTAAAAAAAAATACTAGATTGATTTGCAAGACATTTTAATGCATTGCTACTTAAAAAGGTCAGTTACATATATCACTGTCAACATTGTCAGTGGTGACCATCCAGTAAGCTTTTTTTCAAAAACATCCATACATAGTACTTTTTCTGTTTTTTTCACAGAAAAAATATGTGCAGCCCAGGTAGAATTATTTAGAAAAGAAACAGGTGTAGAGGCAAAAAATTTAAAAACTGAACCTTATAGCATTTCATACCAGTTTCTGTGTTGGTATATTTTTAGTAAATAGATGTAAAACTCAAATATATGATATGATCCTATAAATTCAAACTTATCTTTTTTCCAATGAAAACTACTTCATAACGATATATTGCACAAAGGAAATTTAAAAATGTAATACATTGTAAGGCTATAATAATAATAATAAACAGTTTTAATTTTGATCTAATTGTACTAAAAATTGATGGACATGCAAACAATTCATTATGTCTTTTATACTGTTCCTAGTACAAAAATCACTTGCTTTTTGAATGGAAAAGATTGATTTTTGAATATCAAAAATGTCAACTAAAAAACCTTTTTAACAGCAGGAAGGGGGTGAAAATCTGGTACCAGAATTAAAACATGTTTGAATTTTCAGAATGCTCTGTATTACTTAATTATTTGTCAGAATGCTTTAAATTAGGTGATATCTGCTAACAAAAATACATTCATCAGTTTACAGAAATACCAATAAGACTGCTAAATTTATGTTTTTGTAAATTTTTCACTATAATACAAATGTAAATTCAAGATTGAAACATTTAAAGCCCATGCAAACAGAATATCCAAATGAGGTGGATTTTAAAAAAAAAATATCAATATTTTGAATATTATGTTTTACCATCTTGTTTCATTTCAAAGCAGACGATCTTGAATATTCAAGTAATGTAGTGAGCACTTAAGTATCATATTCCATATAGATTCCTCTAATAAATAAATTTTTCATATGTTTTTTCTGTTTTGCTAAAACCCAAAACAAAGTGTACTTGATTTGAAACTGAAGATAAACAAAAAAATTTTTACTAACAAAACAGCAGACTGATAAAAAAAATAAATAAAATAACTAATTGAGTGTTCCCCGACAAGCTGCATCTCCACAAAGACATGGAATTTTTTCGTCCTCCAAAGGAAATTTATAATCGTAGGTAATTTCTTCATTAACGTCAATCTCACGTTTGGAATATATCACAATTTTCTTCTGGTTATCTACATTAATAATTTTGGCATAACAGTTTGGCTGAAAGAAAGAAAACAAATAATTATAATAATAATTTAGATTTACAGTTTACTTTTTTCTATGAAAGATATTGAAACGGATACATAAGATACATAAAACCAGGTTTAATCCACCATTTTCTACATTGGGAAATGCCTGAACCAAGTCAGGAATATGACAGTTATTTTCCTTTCGTTTGATGTGTTTGACTTTTAGATTTTGCCATTTTATAAAGGACTTTCAGTTTTGAATTTCCCTTGGAGTTCGCTATTTCTGTTATTTTACTTTTTATTCAACTACCTTGCATTCTTGGTAAATAAAATGTGGATCTTGTTGCATAAAAAATCTAAAAACAAAATTTTTTTTTTTCCAAATATACCAAATTTTTAGACCTCTGTTTAAGAGAAAAAGTTCAACATTTTTCATTTCAATGCTTTTATTAATCAAAGGTCTTCCGTCCTACTGCAAAAACTGAAAAATCACTGAAAGGATCTTCGGTTGGTCCATTGTTATCTGTCACAAATGATTGATTGATTGTTGATGTTTAATGCCACTTTCACCACACTTGGCTCCACCAGGGCAGCCAGTTTTTATTGGCAGAGGAAGCTGGAGTGCAAGGAGAGAACCACTTACCTTAGGCAACAAATCTGGCAATGCTACTCCGTTTAGATCAAACAAACATACTTTGCCATGAGGATACATATGTGTCACAAATGATCATGGACTAACTTTATAAAAGAACTTCAACATGTTCAAATTGTTTAGTAATTGATTTATTATCAAACTTCATATTGGATCCATTATCATATTTGAGTAATGACATCACATGCTAAGCAGAATCATACTTTTAAAGATCACAAAATACCATTTATGGTTTTGAAAACCAGGTTTTCATGAGATTTTGTACTGCCAAAATATTTAGCAATTAGTTATATACCTTGCCTTGTTTGTACAGACAACTACCTTGCTTTGTATTCTATTTTCTGATTCACTTCTATAAGCACCAGGCCTTGTGGTCATAAACATTTTGAGTATAATTGATGTAATGAGACTCTCATGAGACAAAATACTGGATTTGGTGCTTCCAGCACAAATTTTGTACTAAGAGTACTGAGTTAAATTTCATGACTGAGTGACCAGGTTTGGCATTTAGTTTTACCTATAACACTTGGGTACTGTTTTGTATACATGTATATGTAACAGTAAGTAAGGTACGATAAATCTATTAAAATACTTACATTACAACTATGATTAATAAACCTGGCCAGATTTCCACACTTCGTTGCATCAATAATTGTATCACTATCCACCCTGAATAGATAACTACTGCCGATTCCTGATTTCTCATATTTCTTCTCCCGCATGTCAGCCACGGACTGACGAATACCGGCACCTACATACTCGATAACCATCTCATCTGCTGCAATAGGTTCTAATGCAAACAGTCCCCACGCATGGATACCACTGCGAGCAAATTTCATGTTCTTCTTTCTAAACTGTTGACAGGAAAATTTACATAGCATTACAAAATATATATGACTATAAAAGTGGAAGGATTAAGCAAACAAAACTAAAATTGAGAAAAAACACAATTTCAATGACAAAGAATAAATTCTGATTAAACAGGAAACACCATTGATGAAGAATTAAGACCAAGGCACTTAGGAATTTATGCTCAAGGAATATGATATGGGCCTGTAGTCCAGTGTTATAATATAGCACCGATTTGTTTCTTGTTGTCTAAGTTTTGCATTAGCAATTCATTATATTTAAAATTATTTCATATGCATTAATTTACCAAGTTAATTGTTAACTGTACCAATTTTCATTAAATCGCAGCATTGTTTCTCTTTGAACAACCATTTGTTTTAAAAAAGTGAATTCATTATTCTAATCTTAGAACTAAAATTAACAAACCATCCAACATGTGTCCAATAATAAAACTATTATGAACAATATTAGTTATTGTGTTTAATATTTGTACGAAGAAATTAGTCCTCAATGTGTGTGAAGTCCAATATTACCAGTTTATGGATATACCATGATTTTAAAGGTAATCTTACGACAATTATAGCAGATTAGTCATATTGATTGTTGCTATTTTTCTTCATTTTCTTTTTTTTTTTATGTGTGAAAATTTTCCATCTCAAGCTGCTAGATTGAACTGGAATTTCTCAGTCAAGTGAGAATGAAATGACGTCATAAGCAAACATCATTGAAGTTGCTTAAGAAAATAGCAATAAACAGATTATCAACAGATTATTTCAAACATGAGGAACTTTCTCCTTTTCAAAATCATAGATAATCTATAAACACAATATCTGCCTCCATAACTTACTTTAAGTTGATTGAATTTGAGAAGATCTCCTATATCCAGATCAGCAAACGTGGTCTGTAACCTTCGGTTTTCATGTCGAGCTTCTCTGGAGGTTGAGTATGCTGTCACTTTCTTGTCCTAGAAAAACATGTTAAATAATATATACAAATCTTCATATTCAGAAGAAAAGCCTACCAGTATATACAAATGTTAAAAACAAAAAAAATATCAATCAGAGGCAACTAAGAGACTGAATCCCTCACTTGGTAAAACTATCTCATTTTGATATTTATTTTCACCTTTCTGATTCCTAAGGTCCTTTTTGGTTTTATCAGCTCTTTGTATTAGGATTTGGATTTTCAAAAAATTAGCCTGAGCATCATTGAAAAGAAAAGACATCTATTGTAGAAAATTGCATCTATAGCAGTAAAATTGGTAGAAGCAAAATCAATAAAAAACATATTATTAAGTACCATGAAATCAACACTTTTAGTGACGTTTTTTGTTTGTGAGAATTACACATGATGCAACGGAATATGTTTCACCAAAAAATTTAACTTTTGTTTCAAATTTTGATAGCATTTATATATATACATGATATATAATATTTGCATGCAGCATTTCCCGAAATCTTAAAACTAATCTTACATTTTTGTCAATTTTTCATTATAATAAATGCATGCAGAAATTTCTTAACTTACAGTATAAGAATGACAAATGTTTGAATACTAACCTGAGTTTTATTTGTCTCCTCTAATGCACAAAATGCTGCCTGATGAACTTTGCCCATCTTATCTTCCCTGGATAATTTGTAGAAGCCCTCCGTTCTCGCACAACCTGTAATACAACATATGAAACCATGTCTAAATTTTATACTTTTTAGCTACTGGGATGGTAGTTAGAATAGAGAGCATTGATTTGTTTTAAATAATTGTTTAGATTCTAAATTTATGGAGAAAACAAATTAAGAGAAGTGAGAAAAATTGTTTGTTTCCATTGAAAATTAGGGTGGGGGATAAATACAACTTCTTGTTTCTGTATATTATTGAAATTGAGGTCAAGGTCTAATGAACACTGTACGATAGACATTAACACCTTTCTCAACTATTCTATACGCCAAATATAGTTGAGCCATTTCTTCAAGTGTCTGAGAAATGGACCTAACATTGAACACTTCAAATTTAACACTATTCCCAAGTCATCCATGGGGGTGTCATAAGAATTAACAATCGGTTGAAAGGTCATTGATAAAATGTTATATTTAAAAAAAACATTTATTTATTTCTCCTAAAATTTAACACTGATCCATGATATGAGATCAATGTCATGTGAACCCTGTCTGACACTTAGATGAACCCTGTCTGACAGATATTTAGATCTGTAAATGATTGCACATTTTTTTTTTTTTTGAATAATTGTTGATTCTATATTTATGGCGAAAAAAATAGAATATCTATGTGGTATAATCTCCATTTACCACATAGATATTCTATTACTCATAATAAGTTAGAACATTACATGTAAAAATAAAAGAAGAATGTGTCCGAGGACACAAATGCCCCTGATCAAGCTTGCTTATTATATATGAAAATCCTTTTTGAGAGCATTTGATGTCACTGCTAGTTTTTAAAGAAACATAGTGTTCTATTCTTATGTCTTAGCATTGTGTATGAGTTTCATAAAATTTGCATGAGGCAAACTTAAGGTAGAGCGTGGAAACAAAAAAATTTGCAATTTTCCTAGTAACAGAGGGGCATAACGGTAAGTGACTCACTACACAAATTCAAGCTCTGTCTGCGAGTATTGGTTTTTAGAACTTTGTACAAGTTTCATAAAACTTGAATGAGGTCAAAGACAACGGAAAACTTCCATATATGCCAGATGGAAACTTTAAAACATGAGGCATCTGTATACAAAATATGAAGTATTCAGGTCTACCATTTCTTAAATATAAAGCTTTATACAAATAGTTACACCTTTGCTGGTGGATAGGCAAACCTTTGTGTTGCAGGCAAGACAAAATTAAAGTAATTCCATACCAAATCTTAGTTTATCGTAGTGAGAGAAGGATATTAAAAGGTATAAAGTTATTTACAATTGATAATACCACAAGTGTAAGGAAAGTATAAACGAAACCTGTCCAAATAGAAATACTTTTGTTTTGTTTGGACTAAGACAGTTCAAAACAGAGCTAGAGTTGAAAAAAGTTTTATTTGGATTAAGACGCAGGTGTTTGTTTTACACAGGTAAAGGTCAAGTTACAGTGAATGTGCTATGTCACAGATTTTGGTAAATTTTTGCATACAACTTTGGCTTGTTGAACTAAAACTGAAAATTGAAAAAATAATTCCTTTATCCTTTTTATTCTCAAAAATTTATGTATCAACAACAAATTCTTTTTTATGTAAAATCTGTGGATTGGAATTTTTTTTAAGACAAATTTAACAACGTTTTTCATGTTTTTGTTTTTTGGACAATTTATGTGCTTTCTAAACAAATGTTCACATATTTTTAAAAGATTTCAATCAGTAATATTTCAGAGAATATAAGAGATAAATGCATTTATTTTTTTCGATTTTCAGTTACAGTTCATGAGCCAAAGTTTACTATTCCTTGGCCTTCAATTACTATAATATTCTTAATGTCATGATACAAGAGTTCAGTAAACAGAGATTCCTTTCTACGCAAGGTTAGTACAGACAGGTTATATTGTTATGACTAATATGACTAATACAATGTCTTACCAACAAAACCTTTTTAGAAATTGACCATCTCTAAACATCTAAACATAATTTGTAGTCACTGATTCATGACAATGAGACCACAGACACCTGATGAATGACAGAATAAAACATCAAAACATAAGGAGCACTAACTAAAACTGCAACAGTTTTTGCATATGATATGAAGGCCCTTTCTTTTGGATTTACTTTTTTCCCTACTTAACAATCCTGGTTGTTTAACAAATTTAATGGATTTTTTTAATGTGTTTACCTAGCCTACTATTTAGTTTTAGATTGAGTCTGTTTCCATTAAAGCATTCCCTTTTTCTAAAAAAAAATTGTATCCTCACATTATAGTGAGCTTAAAAATCTTGCAAGAAAAATACTTTGTAAGTCATAAATATTTCCAAGGCACAACTTGTGTAAGTTCAGTTTATATCATATCATTTGTTGTGAAAAGAACCACTGGTCTTTAAGCATGTAACTGTAGCAGCATTTTACATCTTTCATCAAATTATAAACATACAAATAAAACTATTAAAAATACATGGTAAAACATCACAATGAATAAACAATTAATACAAATAAAACTAATATACATGGTGAAGCATCAATAAATACAATGGATAAACAATAGATAATATATTGCTTCGCGGAGCGCAGCTGGATACAACCTCAGAGGTCCAACCCTGAACAGTTGGGGCAAAAATGGACACAATATTCGCGCTTGATACAGGTCTGAATTTGGATTGAAATTAAATATTTGACACATAACAGGTTTCTGACACAGAATAACTGTTGTCAAAGAACTTAGAATTGGTTATATGATTTGAATTTATATTTTTTTTCAATACCCTATGCTGTTGTGAATTGCCCCCCCCCAAAAAAAAATAAAAATTGTTTTACCCCCTCCCCCTTTTTTTTGCAAAAAAAAATATTTGAAGAAATTTTCTTTTTAATTTCTGAAATCTGAAATGAGAAAAAATTGTCCCCCCTCACAATTTCTTTATTACCCCCCCCCCCCCCCCCTTTTTCAAAAAAAAAATTCTTTTCCTCAAGATATGGTCTTAATCTCAATTCAAATTTCCAATGGAGTTTGCAACCATAATTACCCATTTAAATACATCATAAAAGTCTTAAAATAGAAAATGACATACATAATCATGGCTAAAATTAATATTTCTTAATCAGCATTTTTAAATAGTAACTTCTAAAAATAAATTGACAGCTAATCACCTCAAGACAATACAACATTTATTTATACATAATTCAAAAGCAGTGTAAGGAAGGTAATCAAAACATAACATTGTACTTTTTTTAATTGTCCATTAACCAGGAAACCCTTGTTTTTCCCCCTTTTTTGCCCCTAATTCCTAAACGGTTTGAGCCATAACCCCCCAAAGCTAATCCTAACCATCCCTTTGTGGTATGGAAACTTGTGGTATAATTTCAGAGAGATCCATACACCTTTCCAGAAGTTATTGTCTGGAAACTAGAAAAATGCTTATTTGGACCCCCTAATTCCTTAACTGCTAGGACTATAACCCCCAAAATCAATCCCAACCTTCCTTTTGTGGTTATTAACCTTGTGTTAAAATTTCATAGATTTCTATTTACATTTACTAAAGTTATTATCCGGAAACCAAATGTCTTCGGACGACGCTGACGTGATACCAATATACGACCGCAAAATTTTTTGCGGTTGTATAAAAACTAAATGTGTCGGAACGACACGAATGACCCAGTCTCAAAAAGTTAAAAAATCTGCATTTTCAACAACACATGTGGACACAAACATGCATTGATAGTATCCAGCTCTCAAGACCAATACTAGTTTGATGAAAAATTTCCTTGATCAATGAGTAGTTAAATTTCAAACTATCAGCAAAGATGAAGTGGATGTACTGCAGATCTAACAAGATGTGTTGAAACGACATGAAAATCAGCATAGCAGAACGAAACATAAACCTGATCTGTAACTCATCATGGCAGACTCACATATCAAAAATCAGAACAAAATCTGAAGGCGTATAGAAAAAAAGTCATTATAACTGTGATTTTCAAAGTCCAAAACCCAAAATTTCGGCAAAAATCAGCAGAGCGGAACGAAACTTAAACTTGATCTGTAACACACAATGGGAAACTCACATACCAAAAATTAGCCCAATATCTGAAGGCGTTAAGAAAAAGTCAGGTTAACTGTGATTTTCAACAATTTATCAAAGTCCAAAGCTTGTAATTTCGCCAAAATTAGCAGAGAGGAATGAAACTTAAACCTGATCTGTAACTTATCATGGTTAACTCACATACCAAAGCAGCCCAATTTCTGAAGCGTTTAGAAAAAAATTGCGTATAATGGTTTGTTGTGGAATGACAGAATGACGGAATAACAGAATGACGGTATGAAGGACTGACGGACAAGGGTAAAACTATATGGCCCCGACAACTTTGTGGCGGGGCCATAATAATATTTTCAATTATATCATGTTATATAAATAATACAAATAAATCTGATTGGAAATAAAATTAGATTGCTTCCAATCTAGCATGACATACAAACATCCAGTTGTTCATAAATAGTAAATGTTTGAGGAAAAATTAATACTGTATATTGAGAAATTTTATCTATGTTTTTATTTATTATGTTAATTGCAATGGATATGGCTTCATAAAAATAATAAACTGTTGACACAGAGATAAGCATAAAATTCAGAAAAAGACAATCCGATGGACAGCAACATTGCTTATTAATTAAAAATTGCTGGACCATGATCTTGTGGGCAAGGCCTAGAAATGGTCGACAAACTGAGATGTACTGATAGTAATGCAACTTAATACAAAATATCATTGATCTGTCACAAGCAGTTCTTATTAACTGGCTTAAACAGAAAACTTAACATTGAAAATTGCTAATTAATTCAAAGTCACTGGACCATGACCTAGGGGCAAGGCCTCAAAATAGTGGTCAAACTGATATGTACAGATAGTAATGCAACTTCATACAAAATATCAATGATCAATCACAAGTAGATCCTATCAAACTAACTTAAACAGAAAACTTAACTTCGAAAATTGCTTATTAATTCAAAGCCACTGGACCATGTCCTAGGGGTC